TTTGAGACTCACTTTTTTTTAAACTTATCAATTTGCATTTAAAATTCAGCCATGTCTTCATGAGTCTTGATAGGTCATTCCATGTTATCACTGCATAGTATTCCAGCGCTTGCTTGGATGTGATGCATCACAGTTTATCAATATAGTTATTAAAGGGCATCTTGGTAGATCACAGATCTTGGAGATTATGAATAAAGCTGCTCTAATCATTTGAATGCAGCTTGAAATCTGTTAGATCAATTTTTGAATGTGCTTTTGCTGAATCATAGCATAAAATAATGTTTATCTCTTTAAGATTGTGAATTGGTTTTCACTTTTCTCATAACGTTTCTGTTTCATGTAACATTTCTCCCACTTACAGTAGAATTCAGATCTCTTGTCTTATACGTTAGAGTTCAGTTTTTTTCTCTCCAAATTTTTTCACAATTTTGTCTGTGTTTCTTTGTTTTTCTTTTTGACTTTTGTGGAGGGAGACCATAACTTATGCACATTTAGTATCTTTAAAAGATTTTTACGAGAAGAAGTATCTGATTCATTCCATCATTTACCACTTATCCTTCTTAATCTCATTAACGGTAAGCAAACAGGAGTACTTTATATTACTAATAGCTTTTGAAATTATGCTCTTAAATACACTGATCTAATATATACAGAAAATAAAAGTAGAATATATAGGGTCTATTCACTTTGGGAAGGTTAGTGCTAATGAGCTATTCAGTTTCTTACAAGGATTTAGCCTAAAATGTAGGTAATTTCCCACCAGAAGGAATGTGATATTTAAATGAGCATTTTTTAAATTGCCCTACACAGCTAACCACACTAACAGCAAACTAAACTGGAGGTAACGTTATATATATTTTTCACACAGAATGCTAAATGTCTATAAATACTATTTATTTTACACATGAACAAATTGACATATTGCTATTTATTGTACTTAGACTTATTTTCTTATATAAACTGAATTCAGAGGTAAGTCTTAGAGAGTCCAAACAACAAGGAACAATTGAAGTATCTGGTTTCTATCCTTTGCTCTAAGTTTCTGCTTAGATTAACTCTCATTTTCATCACATAGGATAAGTGTCAAAATCATCATCCCATCTTATTGTTTCTGCACACTTCATTCAATCATATATTTGCATTTGCTTTCTCCTAAAAACTGTGGCACACAGTTAAAAGAAAGATAATATAAAATATCTTGGCTGGGCGTGGTGGCTCACGCCTATAATCCCAGCACTTTGGGAGGCCAAGGCGGGTGGATCACAAGGTCAAGAGATCGAGACCATCCTGGTCAACATAGTGAAACCCCGGCTCTACTAAAAATACAAAAATTAGCTGGCTATAGTGGCATGCGCCTGTAGTCCCAGCTACTTGGGAGGCTGAGGCAGGAGAATTGCTCGAACCCAGGAGGAGGAGGTTGCGGTGAGCCGAGATTGTGCCATTGCACTCCAGCCTGGGTAACAAGAGCGAAACTCCGTCTCAAAAAACAAAACAAAACAAAACAAAACAAAACAAAAAACAAAACAAAAAAAATCTTAAAGGTGAAGCAAATAACTTTCTGAACCATAAATGAACTCAATATTTTGCTTCTATCTCTTTCATTAACAATGCGTTACTTTAGTATTTTGAGTACTATGTAGCCTGTGCTAAGTACTTCATATGCAGTCTCTGATTTAATTGTTTTCTCATGACAGTTTAACGGCAGGCACTATTATTATCATTATGTTCTATTATCCTCACTACTTGTCATACTAATTATCCATTTCTTCCAATTTCATCATATTATGGCCAATTTATGCTTTCTATCCACCTGGCTCTTGGTTAGTGGACAAACTCATTCCTGATATTTTTTTTACCCTGATATGATCTCCCAATTCTGGTGAATTGTTTCATAGATACATATGGCTGTGGAGTGTCTGTGGCTTCTGCATGTATATGTCAATGCTATGAGGATGGGGATTATTGTTGGAGTTTTCTTCAAGAGAGATTTTAGAAGGGATGTGATCAAATGTAGAGCTGTAACAATAAAAAAATACTTCTACTTGCATCCAGCCCCACCTTTCGTGTCTGGCCAAAAATATGGAAAAGAAGGAAGACTGTTATCTCACAAATTAAGAAACAGAGAGGCTTGTCTGTTGTTAGCTTTTCAAAGTAGAATTTTCAGATTACTTACTCAATAATAGGTAACATTTGGAGAATATTTTGAAAAGTAAAACAAGAAAATAAACACCATCTCTAATTATACCAGCCAAATATAATCACACTTAATATGTTGTTTTATATATTGCCTAACATTAAATAAATATATGTTAATGAAAAATCATCATGGCTTACATATGTTTTTAGTAGAATTTGAATGTTTTAAAATGTTAAGTAATCTGTCAAAATATCCTTCTTAATGATCTTCAGAATTCTCCCATATTCTAGCTGATTCACTGAATTATAGAAAGACAATGGAGACTAAGCCTTCCATTCAGAGATGAAAGCAGAAGGCAGATTATGTGTGGGGCCTCACACTTATCATTTCTTGGAAATAAAAAGAATATTTTACCATGATTCCTGTTTCTTAATTTTTTAAACATATTTAATTTTAAATCTTCATTTTCTAGCACTACGTTGTTTCATCGAAAGTATCATAGTAAAATGTCAGATAACATGTTAAATCAAGTATAGACCAAATAAAAGTTTTTGTTCTTTCCTGTTATTTTTAGGTACTAATAATTCATACTTAACGATCCCCTAGAAAATTAGGAAGTAGAAGTAATAGGAACGATCCTAATGCTATTAGACTCTTAAGGAATATAAAGCTAAGCTCTTAGGCATGAAGATAGATAAATAAAGCCCCTAGTGTGTGTGTGTGTGTGTGTGTGTGTGTGTGTGTGTGTGTGTGTGTGTGTGCATGTGTGTGAAGTATGCTGGGCTCCCTGTCTGGATGTCCTAACTTGGAGAAACGGTTACTGTTAGCTGCCTCTCTTCATGTGGTGGCTGTTCTTCATGTAGCTCATCTGTGTGGAACTGTGAGTTTCAAGTTCACCACCTCAACTCGTAAAGTGACCCTGTTTGAGATCCTTGGTGCACTAAGGCTGCTGCCACTCTGGTGCCTGCACTGCCGGGATAAGCAGCATGTTTGAATGGGGTGTCTTCAGAAGGGGAGTCTCAGGGTGCGACCCAACTGCATTATGTCACACAGTGATCTCATTTGACAGCAAATTCTTCAATTTTGAGTGGCAGAAATCAGACATTTCTCTATGGATTTATGTTTTAGATGTGATGTGAGGCTCTCGGGTAGTAGTATGGGACCTACTGCATAAAGGACCTTTACTTGGCCTAGCGAAATGCTTGGCATGTATAATAGCCTATAGGAAGCATTTTGTGAGAACACCATTTGTAAACACCTGGCCTCATGGTGCTGACGTAATGGCTCTATTTTTGTAATGTCCTGGCTGGTGATGATCTTGGCCAAGCCCTTCCTTACTGACAGGATCAACAGCTGTTCTGGGTACCTAACCTGCTTAACTGAGGGATATGATGCTGGGTTGATTCAGCATTCCTGCCTTTCCTAGAGCGTAGCTGGTGACTTCTCCAGTGATTTTGAGTCTTTCCTCTTCCTCATTCTCCTTTCTTCTTATTCACTTATAAAACCACTTTTCTTAGAAAGCTTCCTGATTAATGGTCCATATAAGGAAGCTCCAGTAACGTCACTTTAAAGGTTTAATATACAATATTTAGAAAGCCTCACTGATTGCAGGAAGAGTTTAAGAAAGACATGAAATAACAATTTTGAAAATTTGTTTCTAAATGCACTAAATGCATTGACAACATATGTGTTAAGTGAACAGTGTGTACCAAAATAGACAGATGAGAGGTGTACATTGGGGCGTGAGTTGATAATCCAGCAATTTGTGGGACTAGAAGGTTTATGGAAAAGATAAAAGAAGAACATGCAAACAAATTAAAAAGCACTGAGAAACATGTAAAACCTGTTTGGAAATAGAAAGAATACATACTAGACTACCCTTCATTTGTATTTTCCCCCGATTTCAGACTTCAAGTGCTCTGACTTTCCTCACTCTGCAAACCTACTTCTAATTATTTACATATGGTAATGTGAGTGTATGCACCTTGTTCTCTGTAGGATGTTCACAGGGAACCATACAGGCATGGTTCCATGCATAGATTTTGAGTGAATGCTTGTAACTGTGGTTTCCTTCTCTCCACTACCTTTTATAAATCAAAAGGCTGTAGTTCACATCCTTGATGGCAGCAAGTAGCAAACATGTTGGGGAGACTAGATCTCACTCTGGAATCTGTCCTGGGATGCAAGTGCCTCTACAAATGTGGTGTAGAAGACAGCTTCAAAGAGGAAAGGAATATAGGTAAGAATCTGGGGTTTTATGCGAGAAAGGTGGCAAAGAAAATTTCTGTCTCGAACAGGGTCAGCGGATAGCACATGTGATCAGCCGGCAAACCCAGAGGTAAGCGTTTTTCTCCCCTGTGTATAATCCCAGGGAGTTGATGTGACCTGCCTGTCATCATGGAACTTAGCAAAGAAAATGCCAGGCCCAGTTTAGTCCTTTGTTAGGTCTCTCCTTCCTTCCAGCACGTTGGCCAATTGTACAAGGAAAGTAGAGGCAGAATTGGGTTCATGTACAGCAATACGGCATTCAGCCAAAGTGGATCAGGGCGGGAAGTTTTAGGATTCAGGGGAGTTAAGATAGGAAGGGATAAATGTTCCTAATCAAGAGAGCCCTTGACAAGCAGTTAGAGAACCCCCCAACTTTCTCTCTAACGTCAGTCACTGAAACTGAGAGCTAAGGCAGGTTCTCTGTGAGTCATGAGCACTTAACTCAGTGGGGAGATCCCAGACCAGGATATTTCCTAATTTGAGAATCCCTCTCATGCCAGCTAAGGATACATTTGCATTTTAGTTGGGCCATTGCTGGACCAGCCCAGTTTTAGGCAGTTCCACTTCCCAGTGGGTGGGGCAGCAGGCCCTATAAAGAGATTCCCTGCTGCGCGACTCCTAAATTCCTGGTACCTGAGCACCATCTCCTTTGGAAAACCTGGTGAGTCTGCTTCCTTGAGTTCCTCTGTTGTTTGTGCCCTAAAATGTTGAATTTAATCGGTTATCAGCAAGTTTGGTTGATACAGTTCTGTGACCATGGGTTTGATGCTACTTAGTAGATGGAAATTTAGAATTAGAGTAAAATGATATGCTATTTAAGTTTGTTTCTTGTATACAGTTAGGTGCCTATATGGACAGAGAAATTAATAGGAAAGCTTTCATTTGGAGAAGAAAAAAGAACAAAGTATTTTTTTCCTCATGTTTTCTTGGTGTCCTTTTCAAATGTTTGTGACTTAACAGGCGCAAGAGCCTGCAATCCATCCCAAACAGCCCTTTGTTCCTTGCTCAAGTCAACCCACTGGAACTTTACGACAGATAATGTGGTAGAAATGGCTTGTGAGATTGCCCATGGTATCTGAACGTGTCACTGCCTTTCCTGAAGGTGTAATTTTCACAGAGAAAACATGCTTGGTTCATTACTGCAGAGATATTTTCTTTGGAAAAGTTGTATGAGAAAACACAGGATTTCCCAGGGCCAATGAAGCATTTTGCTAAAGTGGAAGAGAGAAATGAGAGAGTCATTAAAAGGCAGTTAAGAGTTCAAATAAATTTTTGGAAATTGGAGATTTCCCAATATCCCATGGTGTTACATAAGCGTTGCCTTCTCTCTCCGTAGGAGTCCCTTCCCGTGAACACTGTCCTATCATTTCTTTCAGATTCTGAGACTCCAGCAGGATGTCTTACCAACAGCAGCAGTGTAAGCAGCCCTGCCAGCCACCTCCTGTGTGCCCCACGCCAAAGTGCCCAGAGCCATGTCCACCCCCGAAGTGCCCTGAGCCCTGCCCACCACCAAAGTGCCCAGAGCCCTGCCCACCTCAGCAATGCCAGCAGAAATGTCCTCCTGTGCCACCTTCTCCCCCCTGCCAGCAGAAGTATCCACCCAAGAGCAAGTAACAGCTTCAGGATTCATCAGAACCATGAAAGGAAAAGGATAATTGGCTCATCTTGTTCCACAGCTTCACCTGCATCTTCTCATCAAAGCCTGCCATAGATACACAGGGAGCTTCTTTCCCCTTAGCCTGTGATCTGCCCGTTATGATCCCTGACAGCAAAAGGTTTCCTTTCTGAGGCTGCTCTACTGCCACTGTCCAGGTGGAGCTGAGGAAAGGAAGTCCTCAGCTCTCACAGCTTTGGAAGAAAGAGCAGCAACTCTATCTCTGGGAATCATCAGAGAATTCTGCTGATGTGCTCTGTGTCTGTCTGTCACCTGGGCATGAGCTTCTCCCACCTGCGCAATTGTCACTTTTCTTTTACTCCCTGAATAAAGTACCTATGCATAAATATTTGTGAATGGATCTTTTGATTCTCTTCAAATCTGCTTTATTAGCAATATTTTTAAATCATTTGGGTTTATTTCCATCTTTCTTTCATCCATAGGCAGGATCTCACAATTATTGTTATCTGAATTTTGGGCCATATCAAAGATTATTTTCATATCATTTTAAACCCCTTTAATTTTCCTTAATTAGTTTTTGATTGATTTGAGGAACAATTCAATCAGTATTTTAATCTCTTTATTGCAAAATGTGGAAAATAATATTTATATCACAAATTTATCTTAGACATAAAATGGAATTAGTATGAGGAATTCAGCTGACACATCATTACTACTCATTTTATAGTAGTCTATTAGCAGCAGCACATCATCATTAAAACAGAACTATAATTTGACCCAGCGATCTCACTATTGGAATATAAATTATTCTACCATAAAGACACATGCATGTGTATATTCATCACAGCAATATTCACCATCGCAAAGACATGGAATCAAACTGCATGCCCATCCATGGCAGAGTGGATTTTACAAATGTGGTATAAATAGACACTATGAATTCTACACTGCCATAAAATATGACATCATGTCTGTTGCAGGAACATGGATGGAAATGGAAGCCGTTATGCTAAGCCAATGAAATCAGAAACAGAAAAACCTAATATCATGTGTTCTCACTTACAACTAGGGGCTAAACATTGAGTACACATGGACACAAAGGAGACAACAGATACCAGGGAGGGTGTGACGAGGGTGAGGATTGAAAAAGAATCGGGCACTATGCTTATCACATGGGTGACAGAATAATCTGTACTTCAAACATCCATGACACTAACCTGCACATATAGCATATAACCTGCACATATATAACAAACCTGCACATGTACTCCTGAACCTAAAATAAAAGTTAAAAAATAGAATGCGGGTAAAACAGTGTGTAGAGGGAAATGTATAGCTGTAATACCTATATTTAAAAAGAAGATGGTAAAAAGGGATTTGAAGAAATAAAAAAGATCTCACAATAATCACATAGCATTTTGAGACAAACAACAAACTAAACCTAAAGCAAGGGAAGAGGATGGAAATAATAGACTAGAGCACAAATCAATAGAGTAAGAACAGAAAACCAATAGAGGAAATCAACAAATCAAAATTTAGTTCAACTAAGTTCAAAAAAAAGTTCAACTTTTTTAGTTCAAAAAAAGTTCAACTAAGGTTGACTAAGAAAAACGGAAGAGTCAGAGGACTAAAATCAGCAGTTTAGGGGGACATCACCCCTGACCTTTCAGAAATAAGAAGGATCACAAAAGAACCTGTCACTCCCAACTATGTACAACAACAAATAATATAACATCGGTAAAATGGATACATTTTACATCGGTAAAAATCGGATACATTCCTGGAAAGATAACAAACTCTCAAAAATGACTCATAAAATAATATAAAATCTGGATATATATATAATAAAGATATTTCATTAATAAAAAAAATTTCCCACCAAGAAAAGCCCAGGCTTAGATGGCTTTACTGCCCAATCACGCCATATATACATATACATTTTATAGAGTTTATTTGAGCAAAGAATGATTCATTAATCGGGTAGCAGTCAGAACCAGAAGAGGATCAGAGAGCTCTGCCCAGCAGCATGAGTGGCAAGCTTTTATAGGATGAATAGAGGAGCAAAACTGAGAAATCACGTGGCTGACAATAGCTAGGCATCTGGTCTATGTAGGCATGCTGTGATGAGGCATTTGTCTTATTTAGGCACAGTCTGATTAACTGGATACCTAGGACTGCCTGAAGCTCTGCTGTTTGTGATTGGCTGAAGCCCCGCTATTAATTACAAAAAATACTACTAAGTTAGGTTGTGCTTTTTAATGTGGGAACTCAAATTATGGAGACAGCCTCAGGCTAATGGCCTCTTGCTTATTTTGCATAACATACGCATATATTTAGGAGTGAAATCCCTAGTCATGGTATTAAGTTTAACCTTAGAATATATTGTTATACAATTTTTCTCACTGGCTATATCAAATGAATCACTCTTAGCCTTTTGTGATAACTCCCGGTGCTTCTCCTAATAGCAATTGGTATTGTCAGTTTTCTTAACTTTAGCTCTTTTGGTGGGTGTGTACTATCATCTCTTTTTGGCTTTAATTGTTATTTCCCTATAAGTAGTAAAATTAAGCACCCTTACAAATGTTTATAGGTCATTTTAATATAGTGAAGTAGTAGTCTTTTTTCTTTTTTTTTTTGTAAGGTGCTTCTTCAAGTCTTTTTATCCTCTTTGGCTGTTTGTCTTCTACTGAATAATTTGCAGTCCTTTACATATTGTGGACATGAACATTTTCTTGGTCATGTGTACTGCAAATATCTTTTCCTATTGCCTATTTACTATTTTGTTACTTTCGATAACCAGAAGTTTATAATCTTAATGGGGTCTGTTCAATTCATGAATTATTCTTTGCTCAAATAAACTATTAAATTATTAAGAAAAACTCTTGTCACAAATATTTAAAGAATAATTAACAACAATCCTTTGCAAACTCTTCTGAAAAATAGAAGAGGAGGGCTTAACACCACTGAACTGTACACTAAAAAATGGCTAAGATGATAAATTTTACATTATTTATATTTACTATCATTAAAAATAGTTTTAAAACAGAAGAGATAGGAACATTTGCCAACTCATTCTATTAGGCTAATATTACCCTGCCACCAAACAATGACACCAAACCAGACAATGACATCACAAGAAAAGAAAACTACACATCAATATCCTTTAAGGATGTAGATGAAAAATCCCTAACAAAAGCTAGAAAACCAAGTTCACTAACATATAAGAAATTATATACTACAAGCAAGAGGGATTTATCCCAAGAATGCAAGGTTAGTTTAACACGTTTACACTGTCAGTGGGAGTGTAAATTAGTTCAACCATTGTGGAAGACAGTGTGGTGATTCCTCAAGGACCTAGAAATAGAAATTCCATTTGACCCAGCAATGCCATTACTGGGTATATATCCAAAGGATTATAAATTGTTCTACTATAAGGACACATGCACACGAATGTTCATTGCAGCACTGTTTACAATAGCAAAGACCTGGAACCAACCCAAATGCACATCGATGATAGACTGGACAGGGAAAATGTGGCACACGTACACCATGGAATACTATGCAGCCATCAAAAACGATGAGTTCACGTCCTTTGTAGGGACATGGGTGAACCTGGAAACCATCATTCTCAGCAAACTGACACAAGAACAGAAAATCAAACACCGCATGTTCTCACTCATAAGCAGGTGTTGAACAATGAGAACACATGGACACAGGGAGGGGAGCACTACACACTAGGGTCCGTTGGGGGGAAATGGGGGAGGGGCAGGGGGGTGGGAAGAGATAGCATGGGGAGAAATGACAGATACAGGTGAGGGGACGGAAGGCAGCAAACCACACTGCCATGTGTGTACCTATGCAACAATCTTGCATGTTCTTCACATGTACTTCCAAACCTAAAATACAATAAAAAAAATTAAATTAAAAACAAAAAACCAAAAAAGACAAACGAAAAAAAACTGACAATAAAAATATCTACAAAATTAAAAAAAAAAAAAAAAGTTGCCTAACCAAGAAGGGCATAGTCCACAGTACACACTTCAGGTTTGATTATAGATAATAGCATAAAGAAGGGATAATTCTACCTATGGCAAAAAAGTGAATCCTTCCAGAGAACAGAATCAACACCTTAAAAGGAACTTCTACCACTTCTGGTATATTGGAATGGGAAGAATGTAAGAATGTGGCTTCACAATGCCTGTCCAGATGGATTTCAGAGTACTAAGGCCCAGTGGCTGCCATGTGTCACCATTATCTTCCTTTGCACAGGGTAGTTTTGATTTAGTTTTCCTGTATCTGCATTGACATTGGATGCTGAGTAATAGGAAAAATGGCCCATTTGTTTGCTTCATAATTTTCTGAACAAAAGGAGCCACAGGAAGACATGATGGAGAAAATTTCATGTCATCTAGAGATCCTAGAGTTTGAACTTGCAGGTACCAAAAGGTTTTTTTTTCTTGGGGGATTGTGTTCTGCATATGAGACAAAAGGAGCAGATGAATATTTGAGAACAAGGTTATTCTGTGGCTGAATCTTGAGGAGGTCACCCAAATCTGTGTCTTTCTTTCTGAGCACACCAGTAAACTACATTTCTTGACTTTGTGAGGTAGATAGGGCTATGCGACCAAGTTCTACACAAATCAGTAAGAACTGAGGTTAGGCATGCCATTTCTCTTTCCAAGTGGATAAGTTCCCGGGGGAATCTTCTCTATATTCAGTCTATTTTCTGTTCTTGTGTTTGGATTATAGGGCACAGCACTCAGAGATAGTGAGACTGTGCCTCGTCATGACTATGTGGAAAAAAGACTTTGCTAACCTATATTGGACTTTTACTTGAGTGGAAAATAACCTTTACTTGATGGAGTTTTAACAAGATACGGGGGTGTTTGTTACAGAAGCTAACCTATGCTAACTAATAATAGCATATGATTACAACTTTTTTTTTCTGCTTGGCTAATTGGTTTGGTGCTAGGAGGTACTTATACTTGGATATGATGGTAGATTTTACCTACTAATTAATCAAAAAACCTTTAGGGTAATAAAACTTTTAGGCTAAACATTTTTCATATGGGCTTTGTAATTTTAAATAACGCAATCAAGTAAAAATGCCATGATCAAAAGTATCACAATTTCTTGAGTTATACCAATGGCATGAATTTTTTTTTATTATTTCATTTTCCAACCTAAGAAAAAAAATCTCTTTTATACTGCTACAGAACAACTTGCTTTGTCTCCCAGTTAGAAACAAAAGTAACTTTTTCTATCAATATAAATATATATACACACATATATGAATACACTGTTGATAATTCTATCTTTTAAGATCTGACTTGAAACACGTTGATGCTATAGGGAGATGAGTGGGAGTGGGTTTTACAGTTCTCACTTCCGTGGTTCCCACCTATGTGAAAGAAACAGTCTCTAAACTGGATTAGCTTTTGCATGTTACACTCCGAGGACTCCAGATCTCCTGCGTGTGGTTGTATATGTGTGTATTTGTGTTTGAATGAAGGGTGGGGAAGAAAATGAAGTACATTCCTCGAGGACACAGCAAATGCCCCTGACAAGCACCACAAATCCCCCTGACTCTGTTTCTGGTCCAGAGTTGGCACTCAGAGACTAGAAATGACTAATTGAGATAAGGAACGGAGTCTGTGAGTCTTTAGTTGTGTTTGGAAATCTGGGTTGCAGGTATCAGAGAGAAATGAGTGAGAAGGAGCACGTTAGCATACGTAGGAACAACATTACGTGAAATAAACAGGAATTGGCTGAATAAGTTAGCAGTCTAAAAGCCAGATTTAGAGAGAAGGCATTCAGTATTAGTGAGTCAGAGTCAGCGTAGACAGGTGCTAACTAAATTCTGGCATGACTCACCGAGTTGCAACAGAGAGCTCTGCTCCAGCCCTGGATGCTTAAAGCAACAGCTCCAGGTGGCGCTGCACGGCCTCCCATAGGCAGCCCAGGAATGCCTGGCGGGGCAGCCCCCCCCACCCTCCTAGTGTGAGCATCAGATGCCTTCTGGACAAAGCCCTTCACCAACCCATCTCTGTGTACAGTTCCTGTTTCATGAGGGAAAGGAATGAAGTTGTAGAGTCAACCACACACAGTCGAGAGTGGAATTGAAAGTGAATTTAATGGGGCTATAAAGGAGCTGAATCATTTGCGTTCATCTTAAGCCTCTCTTCAGATGAATTCTGAGCAGCTGAAAACTAGCTCTGGTATTAAGACCTTCAGCTTCATTCAGAGACTCAGAGTGTGCTGGAAAGAAAGCGGCATAGCACATTCTTTTTTTTCGGGGAGACAGAATGCTAATTGCAAGGCAAATGGGACTCATAAGCAGAGTGGGTTAGAGGAGTCAGCATCTGGTGGCCGGCTCCTCCAGGGCATGGCTGTGGACCACATTACTTCTGTGTGGTCTTCTGCTGGGCTGGTGCTGGAGTGACTGTTGGAGGGCAGGGCTCAGGCAGCTTGGGTTGACAGGGCTCTTGAACCTTGGGCTGGCAGGGCTCAGGCACTTTGGGGTGGCAAGGCTCCTTGGTTTTGGGGATACATGGCTCCTGGGGTGGAGGCTGGCAAGGCTGTTTCACCTGCTGCTGCTGGAGCTGAGGGGGTGGGGCGCAGGGCTGCTTCTGCTGCTGGGAGCTCATGCTTCAACAGTGGCTGGTCCTAGGAAAAGAAGAGATGATTTAAAATAACAACTAGGGAAGAAGCCATGGTCAATAGCACTTCAGGTCCCTTAAAAAGCAAATGTTCTTTCTCCTTCTTGACTGCAAAGAATACTTGATTAATTTCTGAGTCTTTGAAAAAGAGGAACTTCAAGATGATTTGCTCTTACTCCATTGGAGCAGGGCCTTTCCTGGTGCTCCCTTTCTTCGTACACAGCACAACAGGCTTCTAGCAGGAATGTGAAGCACTGGATCATTGGAAATGTGAGGTTATTTGAAAAGAACAATAAATTCAATCTACCCACTCATTTCTGAAACATAGCATGGCTTATCACCTATTGTATAACTCTGATCTCTCTAGAACCCCACACAATTCCACCTCTGGCCTGGCTCAAGTGCTCCTCTGTCTTAAATGTTTTCCTCTTTCCTACCTGTTCTAGCACTAACCAACCACCACAGATTACTTCATATGGGACTTTTAGTGGCTACTCTAGAGAAAACCTTCCAGAAATCTCTGTATTCCCAAACTGTTACAGCACTTGCCCTAATCACCTGGCTTTGGTAAGTCGCTATTATACATTGCATTTTAGCTCTTATTTGCTGAATGAATTGTAGCATCATAGAGTACATTTTCTGCTGCTTAAATTATTTATTTTTAACCAAATTGCCAAATATAGCAAGCTCTCACTAAAGTATCTGTTTAAAGAATAACATTTTCTGTATTAAAATTATAAATAAGAAGAATTACAATGTCAGGGAAAGTGCTGTGGACCTGGGTTCTAGTCGTTGTCTTATTATAAACGTACTATGAATCCTTAAACAAACCAACCCCCTGCTTGCTGACACAGAAAGAGTGAATGAAGAAGAACTGACAATATCTGAAGTCTCTTCAAACCCACAGTATGATTACTTTTAAAACAAGGATATTCCTAGAGGTTATAATTCATTTGAACAATCTGCATGGCTATGAGCAGATTCAATAATGAGGGAAAAAAGAATGCCAATGAGACACTAATAGAAATCAAACACCTAGAATGGATGGTAAAGAGTTCCAAGTAAAGAGACTCACCTGGTGTGCAGAGAGGAAAAGTCCGTATGGCCCCTCAATGTTGGAATAGTGTTCCCAGCCAACTGGCTTTTTATGCAGGGAGCAAGCCCTGCCTCAAGGAAACAGGATCTGTCTGGGCTGCTGTGCCTTCATTCGTTACCTGTCAGACATGATTCACCCCTCTTCCCTCATCCACCTGTTGACCCAACTTTTGTGATGAAACTTTTGGCACTTGCTGTCTGACAAGGATGTCACCGGGGCTTTATCCCCCTGAGTACGCTTTGCTCCCGGGTGTGGTGTTTACAGGAAGGGTGTGGGCTGAAAGAGAGAGAAGGAAGACATTCTGGGGCTGCTGGAACCAGAAACTGTCATATCTTCTGGAAAGGTCTAATCTTTAGCACAGGTGACACTTGTGGGCTATTTAATATTTGAAGTGGATGCAGAGATAAGCAATAGATATTTCTGGGAGGCCAAGGGCATGGTGACCTGAATTGTCCCAGGTGTAAAAAAGTAATATTCTGTTAATCCATCGCTCAGTTTACTCATGCCTGGCTGGGGAAAGGAGAAGCTAAAATGATTCTTTTGGTTCTAAAAAGCCTTTTCTCCAAGGACAAACTCAGAGTTAACAGCATAAGGGCAGGCAGACCTCAGTCAATGAAGGAGAGTTCCAAGCAGTGAAACTCTGGGAAGAACAGTCACATGCGGAAGCTCTGGAGCAACCCGGCCCTGTCAGCCCATCCATATATTCTGTCAAATGTGACAGCAGGCCCTGAAGACCCTGGCTCTCATGGGGATCCTGCAGTCCACATGGGAACAAAGGAGCAGGGATTCCCTCAGCCCTTATATCAAAGTTCACTCTCCTCAAGATAAGATGAAACTTAGCTCACTGCCGGCAGTTTGCAACCTGTTGCAAGTACGGTCTTTGGAGAATCCAAACTATCCTTGAAATCCAGGTGCTGAGTGGTCCCTCCATCATTATTTCTTCTTACCTAAATGTTTATAGAGCACCTGCTGGCTGCACAGCTGTGTCACTTCTAATCGATTTGAGCCCAGGACCAGCCAGCCACCACTAGAGGTTCCTCTGCTTAGCCATTGTTCTAACTTCCATCCTCACATGATGCCTGGTGTATAGTAGCTGCTCAGAGAATTGACAATTATAGAATAAATGAGTAAATGGAAGGATGGAGAGATGGATGGGTGATGTTATTTGCAAAGAGACACCAGAAGCTGCTTTGAGAACTACCAGGAAATTTTTATAGGGGAAATCCTTCCTTGCAGCAGGCTCATGAGAAAAAAGCTGAGAAAAGCTGTAAAAGCTTAGCGAGAGACAGATGTTTCTGTTACTTTATCCACTATGGTTTGGCTGTGTTTCCACCCAACTCTCATCTTTAATTCCCACATATTGTGGGAGTGCCCCGGTGGGAGGTAATTGTGTCATGGGGGCAGGTCTTTCTGGTGCTGTTCTCATGATAGTGAGTAAGTCTCATGAGATCTGATAGTTTTATTTATTTTTGATTTTTTTGATCTGTTGGATTTAAAAAAGAGGAGTTCCCCTGTACAAGCTGTCTCTTTGCGTACTGCCATCCATGTAGGACATGATGTGCTTCTCCTTGTCTTCTGCTGTGATTGTGAAGCCTCTCCAGCCATGTGGAACTGCAAGTCCATTAAACCTCTTTCTTTTGTAAATTGCCCAGTCACGGTTATGTCTTTGTCAGCAGCATGAAAATGAACTAATACATTCATGTATCTATTTCTCCCTCTACTTTTTAAGTGGTCACCTCGCTTTGGTCTGTGGCAACTGCCATCATCACGCCACTTGCCTCAGTTGAGCTCTTCTTTAGACTTGGACACAGCCTCTCCTTAAACCTGCTCCCTGTAGACCCTACAAAGGGAATTATAAGCACACCTTGTCTCCACTATGGTGGGATTATCAGGCCCAAGGCAACCTGCTTCTGCTTCTCAGTCCTCCAGGCCAACAGGCCCAGGACCTGGCTAACCTGAACCTCAGGTCTGAGGCTCTCATGTCTTTCCTAGACCCATATGTCTTGGAGGAATTTTCATTCAAGATGCCCTTTAGGTGATGACCTGATGCACCCACTTGACTGATCTCCTCTCCCTCCGTCAGCACTGCTCTCATTCTAGCTTCTAGACTTTCTCATTTTACACTTCTGCTGTTTTGTCTAAAGACCCCCGCCCACACCCTACCCCCAGCCATTTTTTTTCCCCACTCTACAAGAAAACTCAGTTTCCTCATCAGCAGTGCTGAATCAGCCATGGATCTGCTGGGAAGCCACATGGCTTCTGATTGCGACTAGTTATCTCCCCATATGCCTCTGACTTTCATGTCTGTCCTTCTCAGGATGAGAGAATGCTGCTAGTTGTTGTTATTAATAGCAAAGCCTGATCTTTCTTGGACTTGCTGATTAACTGTACTTGACACCTCCTGGATATCCCTACAAATTCTCTCTACCCTACTTGTTACTCATATGTGGTCATATGGCCATTTTCATGCTTGCTTGGATGGACTTTGTACAGGAGATACCTGATAAAGTTGCTCTTCAGGACCATTCTGCATATCTCTTTCTTTTTGGTCTGGGTCTCCTATGATACTGCAGTACAGGACACTCATGGAATGCTTTTGTGTGTACAACTGGGAGGTATAGGGGAGTCAGTGCATATGGGCCCAGACTTGACAAATGATGGTAGTGAAGGAAAGTGAAAGAAAACTATGGATAAATACTTCCTGCCTTCATCTCCAGGGCAGAGAGTTCTGAGACTACTTCTTAAAGATCACCAAAAAGTCCCATGGACATTTTTTATGCCTGCATACTATTCTATGATGTATGTATATGTATCACATTTTCTTTATTCAGTTCCATTGTTGCTGGGCATCTTCACCGACTTCATGTCCTTGCTAAAATACGTTTTTTGGGCAATATAGATGAAGCTGAAGGCCATTATCCTAAGTGAACTAATGCAAGAACAAAAACCCAATGTGACATGTTCTTACTTGTAAGTGGTGAAGCATTGAATATACATGGACACAAATGTGGGAGCAATAGACACTCAGGAGTACTTGGGGGAAAGGTGGAAGGTGGGAATGGGTTGGAAGGCTGTCTGTCAGGTACTGTGCTCACAACTTGGGTGATGGGTTCATTTGTACACCAACCCTGAGCAACATGTAATTTATCCATGTAAGAAACCTGCATGTGCACTTCTGGAACCTAAAATAGAAGAAGGAGAGGAAGAAGAAGATGAAGAAGGAGGAGGAGGAGGAGGAGGAGGAAAGAGGAAGAAAAGAAGAAAAAAAGAAAGAAGAAGGAGGAGGAGGAGAGAAGAAGAAGAAGAAAAAGAAGAAGCAAGAGGAGGAGGAGAAGGAGGAGGAGGAAGAGGAGGAGAAACTGCTATATGACCCAATTTAAAAAATGGTAAGACACTAGTTTCAGCATTCAATTTGTACTTTCAGTAAGAAAGTACATGGTTGAGAGGAACTAACCATGTTGAGCTATGAGCAGAGCACCGTATTAGGTACTTTATGTTTGAGAAGTGACCATAAAATAGTGGTTACAAGTGTGAACTCTTCAGCCAGACTTAACTGAGTTCAGGTCCCAGCTGAGCCATTGATGACTGTGGGCAGGTTATGACCCTAACCAGTGTTTTAATTTCTTTGCACATGAAATGAATAGTAGTAGCTATCTCACAATGTTGTTGGGATGACTAACTAGGTTAATAACAGTAGAATATTTATAACAGTAGCTGGTACAGGGATTGTTCAATAATCATTAGGTGACATCATACATGCTAATTAAGTTACAAAGTCACTCTCTCTCCTTTTCCCATTACCCAAGGTCCTATAAGGCAATGTCTTTGCAATTGTAAATAACTAAGTGCTAAAATGAAAATAATTCTATTGTTACAGACCTAAAATAAGTCGATAAATTTACTGAGTTGCTGTTAAAAAAAGAGTCCCATGGACTTGACTGTCAGTTGTTCTTGGTGCTGTGTGAAACGGTAATGCCTTCTTGAATGAACCTTCCTTCTCTAATTTTACTTTGTCCATTATTCCTCTTCCTTGGGGTCACATTTCCAAGTAAACTTCCTGCCCATGAGGCATTAGCACCAGGCACAACTTACTGCAAGAGTCAGGTTAAGACAACCATGAAAAAGGCACATAATTCAGGAAGTGGGTATATAAACAAAATCACTATAAGGATGGAATCTCTGCCCAGAGCACAGAAAGTTGGATAGATCACTGTAAGAAAGTTGAACTTGATCTAAGCTTCTTCTTTGGAGACTCCAGAAAGGTTGATGTGACCAAGGCTGGTCCTTTTCTAGTGTACCCCTGAAATGTTGCAGGACAGTAAATTCAGGAAAGAATCCTTCTCTGTTCAGCCTCATCCCAGGGAGATCAGAGACTGAAGCTTGGGGAAGAGGCCTTCTTTACCATTTCAGGCTTTGGAGAACATTTGATGGAGAGTTATAAAAGGGAAAATCCATTTGTCTTTGTGATGTTTTGGCCCTGCCAGCTTCTGAGACTGCTTTGGGGAATGTGTTGCTGTTGGCCAGATGAAGGAGGCTTCAGGCAGACACTGTCTAGGTGGTTGCTGAAGAGGTAGGCACTGAGGAGAGACAGTGTAATGGTGGACAGTGGTGAGGTGGGCTTTGTGGAAATGTGACAGGTGCTGGATACTTGAAGACTATGTCTCTAGACTCCATGAAGAACATGTCACAGGACATCACAGGACATATAGGAGCTGGCTGGCAAGGCTACTGCTAGAAGAACAATATTTTTGTTACTTAGCAATATCTGAAAGAGGTGAATATGTTGATAGAAGATCTCTCTTTCATGAGAAGAGGAAAAAGTTCACCTACTAAGCCAGGGCAGTACTTATTCAACCTGGGAAGGTATTCAGGTTTGTCTCCTAAAACCATCATTATGACATCGATTGCTTCCGCTTCCTCCTTATTTAGCATTTTTCCTTTCTAGAAATTTGTTTCACTACAAATACTTTGTCTAATATTATTATATTTGTATAATATTATTCAGAGAAAATGTATGTTTTCTTATGCAA